GTGTCGTCTCCAGCAGCAACTGCGGCGCGCGCGTTCGCGAGAGGGCGCCGCGGAACGCCGCTCGGGCAGCGGCAGCCGCGGTGGCGGCGGTAGCCAGCGTGGGGGTAGACCGCCGCCGGGGCCAGGCCGCGGTGGCGGCCGATTGGTGAGGCTAGAAGGGCAGCAGCACCACATCGGTCATGGTGGCGGTGGCTGGAGCCAAGCCTCACCCCCCCCGAGACCTCTTCGTGGACGTGGGCCTGGTGGTCGTCTGGGGCGTCACACGGGGGGTCGTGGGCCCGCGGGACGCCACAGCAGCGACGGGCGTGCCGAGAGGGAACGGGCAGGGAGAGGCCCGGGGCACGCGCGTTCTGGCCACGGAAGAGAGCAGGCGTACGTTGTACTACGCCCACGATGATGGTGGCTACTACGAAGACTATGGCGACTACGACGACCGCTACTACTACGAAGACGGCTACCACGACGCCGGGTACGCCCACTACGCCGGCGGTGGGGACAGCTACAGCTACCCCTCAGGGTACGAAGACAGCCATTCATCGGACGGCGGCATCCACTACGTGTACTACCCTCCTGATTCGTCATCCGAGCAGCAACGTCAGCTCCCCCCCGTGAGCAGCAGCACCACCGCTCCCTCCTCGTCCTCTACTCCTTCTCATGGCGCGCCTCCATCTTCGGGCTACCTCCACCTCTGCACGGCACAATCGGTGCCCCTAGGCAAGTCTCACCCTGAAGCTTCTTTCAGTAGGATAGGAGTGACGATTGGAGTAGAGTCTGCTGCGTCTGCTTCGTCTTTGCTGAGTGTGAAATCTAGTGAGAGGCCGCCTGGTAGCGAGAGATGGGTAGCTGACTCAGGAGCCAGTAACAGTTTCACCAACAGCAGCATACACATGTATGACCTAAAAAAGATCCTCGCCAGTAGGAAGTATGTCGTTGTAGGTGATGGTCGACTGCTAGAAGTGCAAGCCATCGGTAGCATTAATCTTGGTTTCTTTCAGGAGGATGAGAATGGTGAGAAAACGACGATGTGTGTGAAGCTCACTGACGTGTCTGTTGTAGAGAGACTGAGCTTCAACTTGTTCTCAACGCATGCTGTTTCTCTGAAGCAACCAAACCTCTACGACGAACGTGGTGCAACCCTACAAAATGGACTGCTCTTTGCTAGAGAGGAAAAATCGTCTGCAGCGTATGCCATGCGGTTGCCGTACGACCCATCTGCGATTATTGTAGACCCTGCTGCTTTGCCCGCATTCGTGACTGCCCCCGATTCCGCCCCCGCCGTTGGCTCCGCGCGTTCCCCTTCCCAAANTGGTCCCACCAGTGTAGTACCTGCGAGTGAGAGCGTCCCGCCCGCCGGCTCTGCCGACGTAGTACCTTCCTCGGCGTCCGAGTTTGTGTGTGTGGGTACTTTTCCGGGTATTGAACTTGGAGATACGAGTGTGCTCACCGACGAGCAGCTCATGGATGGCTATGATGACACCCCATATCAAGATTTTTTCCCCGTGTTTATCCCAGAGAGTGACGCTGCGAATGTGGCTGGTGTTTTGGATAGCATTGATGGAGGTTCTGATTTTGACTTGGGTGCGGCCGCGCTTGGCCCTGGTGCGTCCCCGTTCACTCTTGGATCGACCGAAAAGTCCGTTGACATCAACCGCTTCCACCGCTCCCTTGCCCACGCTTGCGAGCCTCTTTTGAGAGAAACTGCCCAGCAGAGAGGCATCGTGCTCACCGGCAAGCTGGAACCGTGCACGGACTGCATGAAGGCGAAGGGCAGGCGAGCGTCGGTGCCGCGGGGGCCGGGAGCGAGGGCGTCCAAGCCTCTCGGGCGTGTTCACCTGGACCTGTGTGGACCGCTGGTGCCTTCCCTGGGCGGCAACCTCTACCTGTTCGTCGCCGTGGACAGCGCCTCGCGGTGGAACAAGGTGTACGGTCTCCGGCGGAAGTCCGACGGGCTGGCGGCAACGAAAAGGCTGCTGGCGGACGTGGGGCGATACGACCTCGGGCGCGTCGAGTGTTTCCGCGTCGATAACGGCACCGAGTGGACCCGCGGCGACTTCCGGCGCTTCTGCGACGACAACGGCATCTGTGTCGAGTTCACACCTCCTGGCGTTCCACAGTACAACGGCGTCATCGAGAGCGCCATCTGGCGCATTATGAAGGCCGGCATGGCCGCTCGCCGCAGCGCTGCTCGTGTGCTCAACGTCTTCGCCTCCATCCGCGGCCTCGACGATCGCGGTGACCGTCTTTGGATGGAATCGGCGAAATGGGCCGCCGACGCTCTCGACCAGTCGGCGACCAAGGCCTACCCCGGGCGGCGCTCGCCGCACGAGATGTTCACCGGCGAGCAGGGGCC